GGGCGGGCTCTGGGGCCTCGATAGGTCTTGGGGTGCAGAAGAAAGAACACTGGGGAGAGGTCAGGGCCTGGCCTAGTCCCAATATGCCCTTGGAATCTATGTGATCCATGCAGGTCACCCTCCCTTAGAGGATTCTTGTGGCCCCTGGGTCAAGTGATGAGGATAACACCCTGCTCACGGGCTGTCATCAGGATGAAATGCCATCGCATGGGGGGGAGGGTGGGGACAGGGAAAGCACCGCGTCGAGGGGTCACTGCCTCCCTAGGGAGAAAAGGCAGGCATTGCAGGCCAGGCAGGTCCGCGCATCAGGCCTCGTCTCTGGCACTGGCTTCCCAGCTGGAGGGGCGCATTAGCACCCAGGATGTTCACCCACAGTCTACATAACCCCTCAAACAGGCACCTCTTTTTACTGTTTACAAATGCTCAGTTCTATACTGACTCCATCCTGGGACACTTCTGCCCCTCACGGCCATGACTTTTGATGCTGACTGTGCTGTGAGCACACTGGGTCCCCGCAGAGCTCTCAGGGGACTATGGGATCCACAGGTGTGACACGCAGCTCTGGGGTCTGCGCTCTGCCTCATTCACGCTTCCCTGCCCCTCCTATGTGCGTACAAACCCTGGGCAGAGACAGGCAATCATCAAATGGTTTAGCCCCAGATTCCTCACAAACAGGCAGAGCGACAAGTCGGAGTGTTCCCCTGTCCTGCTTTGCTCTGCACCCAAGGAAACTAGAGACAGGCTTTGAAGAACGAATGCAAATTTGCTCCCAGCGTAGGAGGAGCCTCTGTCCAGGATCCAAAGAAAACCTCAGCAATGGGCTGATGTCACTTTACAGGGGAGCAGATCGCTCAGAAAGGCAGTGCCTTGTCTGGGTCACGGAGCCAGTGGGCAGCAGCGCCGGCATGGGATCTCCGGACTCGCTGTCTTCTGCTGCTGGGGGCCGCTCTCTCAAGACCCCCACTGCTTCCTTCCTGATGCTGTCTGCTTCTGATTTAGATCATGTTCTCTGCCCACCCTCGCCATCCATGCCTTTCTGATGTGCTGCTGTAATTTAACGGGGGACTGAAGGTGCTTAGAATTGTGTTTTACACACAGGAGCCAAAAGGCTGCCAGCTGCCACTGTCCCCTCAGTCCTGTGCCTGGCGAGGCTGCAGCTGTTTCACTCACTGGCTTTTTCATTTTTATCAAGAAGCATAATCCTTCTTTTTCTGGACTGCTGATATTGCCAACCTATAAAAAAGTGTGGAATTATTTTATAGACATGTTTTTACATTCATTTAAAATCTTTAAGGCTATCTAAAAACTGTAATTAGATGGGTTAAGAGCGGGGGGGGGGGGAAGAAAAAGAAAGCTATCTACTCTGAAAACAATCAAGAACTCCGGGCACCAAGTGAGCACTCTACAGCAGGCAGAAGCCGAGTTAGAGAACACGGTGGGCCGTTTAAGCTCCCCTGCCAACTGTCAAGTGTAACTCTGAGCTAACGAGGCCTAGAGGCCGTGTGTCAGCACCACCACCACCACACCTCACCACACTTTGTTTGCTCACAGCCTGGTTTTGCAGAACAGCAGTTTCAGGCCTGGTATCCATGCTGTGTGCACAGGATAATATCTGTACTTCAGTGACGCCCCCAGAGCCTCACACAGCTCACACAAGAAAGCCTTGTTGAATGTTGAACCCCTGCCACGGTGCTTTGTAAAGACCATTAAGTGCTTTCATTAAAATGTTTATGCTGTAGCATAAATGTGGTGGTGCACACCTGTACTCGCAGCCCTCTGGGACGCTAAGGCAGCAGGGACTGCAAGTCTGAGCTCAGCCTGGGCAACTTAGACATTGTCTCTGAATTATGAATGAATGAAGAAAAGTAGGTAGGTCTGGGAATGTAGATCAGTGAAAAGGCTCTGGGTTCAATCTCTACTACTGCCAAAAAAAAAAAAAAAAATAGCTTATGCTTGGTGTGATGGTACACGCCTGTAATACCAGCACTCTGGGAGGCTGAAGCAGGAGGATCTCAAATTCAAGGTCTGCCTGGGCAACTTAGCGAGACCTTGTTTCAAAATAAAAAGTAGAAAAGTTTGGGGATGTATAGCTCCATGCAAAGGCCCTGGGATTGATCCTCAGTATGGAAAAACAAAACAAAAAAACCAAAAGGAAGAAGAAAAAGAGTATCACTTCAATATTCTATCAATTCTATGGGGTGCGGTTTTATCCCTACTTGACACATTAGGAGCCAGAGTCAGACAGGCTAAGGGTCTGTGCCCAGGCTACAACAGGAACCCTTGATGACAAGTGTCAGGGGTCCTTCCCATCATTGGAAAGTGGTCTTCCACAGGACAAAGGGTGCCAGCACCGAAGGACCAGTCATCCATGATGGTGTAGGCCCCATACAAACAAAATTGCTAAGAGAAAGATTCTTTCATTTTTTAGATTAAGACACAGGGTTCTTAAATATTCAATGACTTGGGGCCGGGGACATAGCTCAGCGGCACAGAGCCTTGCTTGGCAAGTGCAAGGTCCTGAGTTCAATTCCTGGTACCAAAACAAAAAATATTCAATGACTTGGCTAGGGTCATAGTTACAAAGTGACAGCACTGCAGAGAGGTGACCAGCTGCCTTGCGGTGTTCAGAACTCAATTTCTAGAGAACAGATGCTACCGCACCAGACCACATTGTGAACCCCAGCTTGGCTCCATGTGCACCCCAGGGAATGCAGATCAGTGAAAAGGCTCTGGGTTCAAGCTCCATGTTAGGGACATGAAGATGCACTTCTTTTTCAGACATAGATTTGTTTCCCAAATGAAAACATTAACTTGGCTCAAGCAGGCTCACCAGAATTCACCTTCCTCTGGGCTGCTAGTCATAATTCCCCGAGTTACTCTTCCACTTTAAAACCCTGGAAAGAACGGTCCACTAGATCGCCCAACCTCTCAAGTCTTCCCAGTGGGCTCCCCCTTCAATTTCTCCTCTCACCTTTCTTCACATCCCTTCTGGCCCCAGGCACAGAAATGCCTGCTGTTTTCCAAACACACACTCCAGGGCCTGTCTTGCCTCTGGGCCTCTGCCCGTGGGTTCCCTCCATCTGTAATGCGAGATCTTACATATCCTTCATTCATACAACTCCCATGAATCTTTTCCAATCCTTGAGTCAGAATTAATAGCTTTCTTTGCATTCCACAGCACGGTTATACATCTCCATCACAGAATTTATCACACTGAGGTATAATTAATTATTTTCTAATATACTTGTGTCCACCATTGGAGAACTGGTGCCAAGAGGTCAGGGCTTATTAATCCGTGTATGAACTTTCAGTCCAGTTCCGCACGCATGACACGTGTGCACACAGACACACACACACACCGTGCATGTAATAAATCCTGAACGGCAAAGCTGACTGTTTAAGAACAAGGTTTTCATGGTTAACCCAGCTTCAATATGAAATTCAAAACAACGAAGACAGGACTCAAACATAGCAGGGAAATAACATACACTTTTAACTCTCAAAATAAATACTAATCAATTTTATTTTATAAATACAGATGCTAAGTTTTCTTCCAATTACCAACAGATCAGTTTCACGTGCCATTTATTATTCGTAGTGGTTTAAAAAATTATTTGAATAACCAGTTAGGTCAGGATAGATGGGCACCATTAGAACTGCTAAAAAAATATAGCTGGGTACAATCTTCCAAAACTAATATTCTGAGAGAAAAAAAAATCTCTGGAATTTCTGTAGTGGTGGAGGGGAAGCGGAGAGAAACACAATCAAATATTCACTTGATAACATTTCCTGGCTCCTTAGTGTCTCAGCCATCGAAAACCGAAAAGGTTCTCAGCAGCTCAGAAATGGGTAGTAACAAGTCTCCATTTCAACTTGTGTCTTCCAAGTACATTCCATGTTTTTTAAAAAAGTGAACTATAAGACTAATTAAAAAATATTAATCATCATCCTATATTTTGGCCTTGGCAACTTTAAAAAGAGAGGCAAAATGAACCCTGCAGCTTTGGAAAATGCTGAACAAGTGTTGAACAGTGATGCCGTAGGATCTACCCGCGTCACGGCAGAAACGGCAGCCACTGAACAAACTCAAACCCCAAACCCAACTAAACAAACCCGAATTTCAATGGTGTTTTGGTTCACACACTACTGGACAGTGTGTCAGAAGTGTAGCAGCTCTCATCAGTTCTGAGCAATTTGATCATTTTCAAGGGAGGGCTCCAGGGTGTGGAAGTAAACAGCCAGGAAGCCCAGGCTCAGGGAGTCTACAAAGCAGGGACAGATGCAAGGAGCCCCAGAGCTCCTGGCTGTGTCTGGTTGTATGGAACCTGTGCGTGGTCCTTCAGCTTGATGGTGTGAGGCAGGCCGCCCGGCCTGCAATTAAATGCACCTTGATGAGCTTAGCTCCCCACATCTGGGGAAACCACTGATCTCATGGGATTTGCCTCTCATGCTTTAATACTTATACTGACTTTCAAATACCTTTTCCTTTTATAGATGGTACTTTACTGGAGGAACCCAAAACATGATACACATATCCAAGATAGCATCTCTTCCCAACCTCTGACTCTGCAGTGAAGAACAGCACACTGCAAAGAAGCTCCTGCTCCAGATGGCCTCTGCTCAAGGTCTGAGGTAGCTCCACCTCTCCATGTGGGATAGGATGGATTTCCTCAGATTAAGATAAAGTTTCCAAATGCACCAGAGTTGGGTCTGCTGCTATGCAGTAATTCTATGCATTCTTTACATGGAAAACAACATGAACTAGTCTATTTAACACTGTAGCTATCAACTAAAACTGAGTCCAGGAATGCTTGCTCCTAATACTAACTGCTACGCGGACAAAAACAGCTACTGGGGAGTACACTCGGGAAGAATGCGTGTTGCTATACACAATATGTAAACAGCCAGGGCTTTTGTCCAGGCTAGCCCCATCTGATGTAACATAAGGAGACATGGGTTTCAGAGGAATTTCAAAGCTAGGGAAAAAAAATCATGTCTGGTGAAGTAAATTCAATTTTTATTCTTTTATATAGTACACGGATATATGGATAAATTTTCCTTAAAAGAGCTTGCAACCCTGAGGCAATGTCCTTGGGTACATAACATTTAAAGCAATAGCAAATGAAATCTGCAGGAATGACAACTGGACTTCAAAAACATAATTTAATATTTATGAAATTGCACACATACAAATAATATTCAATGCCTCATCTAGTCTCTCAATCCAACTATCTCAACTGCTTTGCAGTTTGCGTATTGGACTGCCTGAACTTTATATACTGTCATATAAAATGCCTTCCTTTGACTGCGATTTAATAAATTAATATGGGGTTTATACGTAGGAATTTTTGTCTGGTAAGTGCACTGCCAGAAGCATGCCTAGTTTTTGACCACAGCACCCGCCCAGATAGAAACTTTGGCTCCCAAAGGAAACTGGGTGCCATCTGACTGCCATAACCTTGGGTCCTTGAGGGTTCCCTGGATCCACTACAGGCAAGTTTCATCTACTCTGAGGGCCACACCGAGGGCACGGCAGAAGAGGTGAAAGGTCATAACTAGGCTTTTAGACCAGTGAATGCGATGTTCTTGGTCTTTAGGATGCACGGCCCCTCCCCTGGGAAGAGGTCTACAGGTTCACTCACTGTAATCCCTGCGGGAAAGGGCAGGGGCATGGGGACTTGGGGATAAGGAGAGGATGACGGCCTATGCATCAACCTTACATGGCCACAGACCCTTCAGTAAATGGTGGAAAGCTGTTTCTGAATATTCCATCTTCTCCAAGTTTTATAAACTGCGATGAGGGCAAATACCTATGAGAAACTAACGGTGAGTTCATTATATTATTTATATATTATCATCTTCCCTCTCAGCATAACATATGTGTAAATAAAAAGCAGACAAATGCCTATAAGGTGACTTGAGCTATAAGCTCTTTCAACTAGAGAATAACTTTTGCCTTAAAACAATTATCAGGCCTGAAAAGCAAACCCTGAAAGCAAAATCTTTGTCTGGCCCACTGATACACAATGATCCTGAGTCCCTCCTCTACTCCCAAAGTCTGTTTTTCTGAGGAATATCCTCCATTAATATTCATGTTGTGTCATAATTATTAAAAAGGGTAAGTGCAGCTTTATCCTCCTTTGGGGCAGTGACCCTGCCCTGGTCTTACTGTCTGTCTGCTCACGTCACTTATCAGAACTCCTGCGCGGCCGGCGGAAGCTGGACACATTTTCATTCAGTGCATAGATCCTTCGGGAGAACTCTTCAAATTCTCCCAGAACTTGTTCGTCACACTCCACGGCTACGGCACTGTCCACTGGAATGCAGTTAAATGCTTCTAGCTGGTCGCCTGCGGTGAAGCCCGTGGCTTCCAGCCCGATGATTTCTTCTGCTTGCTCCACGGTACAGCAGAGCTCCGCTCCGGAGGCTGGGTGGAACTCACCTGGGAGCTGCACACTGGCGGAGCCAGCCTGCTCACCAGGCAGAAGAGTGCCATTGACTGTGGCCAGGTGCCCAGAGAGGGCTTCTCCTGGTTCTTGGCTACACTCGGTTATGCTCACGTGGCTGCTGTTCAAGCTATCACTGAAATCCACACCTTTTTTCTGGTTTTCTTTGGAGAAGTCCAAGGAGGTATCCAAGGAGGAGGACAGAGATGCTGTCTTTCTCTCGGCCTCTCCCGCAGAAGGGATGGTGGTCACTGGCTGCACTAATGCTGAGTTGTAACTGGAAGGAGGGGTTTTGTACTGGAGTCTCTCATTCTCTGAGCTGGCTCGTTTTCGATGTCCTTTGTCTGGTGATGGCATCCCCCCAGAGAAGCCTACGTCTGCACCCCCAAACATGGAGCTTTGTCTCTTTGGAACAGGGATTGCACTGGAAGTGTGATGTCTGTCACTAGAAGACAAAACAAAAAACGAGAAGTTACTTTCTGCTTCAGAAATTAGCTTAGGCCTTCTGGGTCCAGAGACAGGAAGCAGCATATTTTAGTTTGAGAAAATAAAACTAGATAATAATCAGTCTTAGGCAGTATTTAATATAGTGTCTGAATACAAGAAAGGACGCGAAGCATGCTGGTTTCAACTCTGGGAGCTTCCTTCAGAAAGGATGCGGTACGTTCAATATATATTCAGGGTGTGGGATGCGGGTCAGAAACCACTGCATGTGAGAAAAGCTGAAGGAACCAGAGGGTCTGGCTGTGGAAACCAAAGGGTAAGAGGGAGCAATCAACTCCACTGGCATCTGAGGGCTGCCAACATTCTTCCTTATTTTTAACATTCCATACGTTTATCTTCATAATGCAGTCATCTTTCTTAGGCAGAGAAGTTACACGGCTTGCCTAGGATAATTCAGGGTGGCAGTGACAAGGTTATACGAGAGCTCATGACCTGTGACTTGATGGCCAACAGCCTTTCCAACACCCACATGCTAATCATCCTGCCATCGGAGACCCGGCAGAGAAGCATCAAGGGGACTTTTTCTTTTAAATGAAAAATTCACTTGGGAAATGCCTTCTCCTCTATAAGGCTAGCCACACACAGTTTATAAAACTTAGTATCCAGTGCTTTCTTTTGAGCCTGTGTTACTCCTTAGGAAGATATCTTTGAGCCAGCAATAATAATCACTCTTTAGCTATACAAAACTTTATGGTTTCTGAAGTAATTTCAAATACATCACTTTGCTTATTTCTTACAAAAACCTTGTTAAGAAAGCAGGGTACATATTACTGCACTTAAGTTTGAAATAATAAATAATAATCAGTTAATGGAAATATAGTACCCAGTCTCTGGAAATGATGGTTACGTTACAGACTGTGACCAGCTTAGCCATCCCCCGATCAGAGTTCTAGGTACTATTACACAAGGGCTGATCACAAAATATGGTGTGTAATTTAAATAAAAGTTATTACAGTAAATCACACGCTAATTAATCTCCCCTCAAAATACTCATCTTGCTTTGAACACACTTATCCCATCGTTCGTGCCGCTTTCTGAAGCAGCTCTGGAAGTCCTCTTTTGTGAATGTCTTTACGAGGTGTGATAAAAAATACAATGAAGTTGCTACAAGTGCCATCTAACAGAAAGACAGGCTTGTAAAAACATTACAGTGTGTCCCGATCCACCTCATTCACCAGATCTGGCACCATTTCACTCTGGCTATTTTCCCAAAGTCTAAATGACTGAAGTAACTCCACACTGTAAATCAATTCAGGATAGCAAGGCAGCCACAACAATGTAACTGAAGACACTCATAAAAGAGGACTTGGATAAGTGTGTTTGAAGTGAGGGGGATTAATGGAAATGTGACTTTTACTAAAAAGATCTTTAAAAAAAAGTATCCATTAACTGTATTTTTTGATCATACATCATCGCATGTGGCTGAAATCATATAAACTATGAGTTATATGCACAGACTGGGTTGAGAGGCAGACAGAGACACAAACAGAAGAATCATTTAATTTGCATTCTTTAGACGAGGAATGCAGAGAACTTAAGTGGCTGTGATAGGGCAGCCATGAAGCAGGAGTAGAGACAGGATCTACATACACTCAGCAACTAGTCATCACACGCACTTGGCCCGGGGGGAGTGCGGGAAAAAGACACATGCACAACACAGCAGCTTTGCTTCCAAGGTGAGTCCGAACTTGCAGGAGAAAGACATCCACAAATGTTCAAACAACAGACTTCCACATTACAATGGCAGAAAGTGCTGGGTTCAACTGTGAGAGGTTCCTTCAAAAAGAATGCAGTATATTCAATACATATTTAAAAGAAGAAGGGTCTCTTCTACCTGTGTCCACAATCACAGCTCTGAAACCAGCTCACAGCCCCTCTTTCTCAGATTTTTCCTGCTGCTGGGTACCGTACAGTCTCAGACCGCAAAGGTTACTCCCTGGAGCCTAGGCAACCACGAGGTTTCTAATCCACAGCCTGTCAGACCCTCTTGCTTGGCTCTAAGAACGGGTGCCAAGAGAGATTTCATAATTAGGGGTGGTCACTGCGGTGCTTATCACAGTGGGCAAGTAGACCAGTAAATTACTGTTTTTAGTTCTGAAGAAAAACAGAACAAAACCAAGCAAAACCTGCTGGCCTTAATCTAGGTTTGCACTTAATATGTTGTCAAAATTCACAGTAATTGAGTAAGCTACACATTTTTGCCAGTCTTGTTTTTATTCTCCCACTTGCTGACAGTGCCCCTCTCCCAATGATTTTGCAGGTTGACTAGGTAAGCAAACCAACGCAAAGCATCAGCACCACCCACAGACGGTCTGCTCCGCTTGAACAAACCCCAGGAGGGCTGGGCATACCAGGGGAGAAGCCTGCAGTAGGAAGGTGAGCTTGCTGGCTGGGACAAGGCCAGGTGCTTAACAGCTCCTGGCTGTCAAGCGTGAAGGATCTGACGCTGCGCTGTGCTGCCCTGCCCACAGCCCCTACCCCTCACGTCCTGCTCTGCTTCTCTACTGGGCTCCCAGTGGGCCAATCAGAGGCAAGGTTGGAGGTGCAGGCCCGGCACACCTAGCTATACTTAAGGAAGAGAGGGTTTCATAGCCCTCATTGATTTTGAGGCTCCCCAAAAGCTCCCTTTAACTTTGCACATCAGAAAAGTCAGTCATAAGGTGTGGCCATCCCCTCAACAGGAAGGGAAGAACCATTTTCCCGAGCACGCTCGTAGCATGTGGAAGGTGCTGTGCACACTCAGAACCCTTATATCTGCCCAGACAAAGGTAGGCAGGTGGGTGAGTCACGTGCGATGTTTAGGGCTGACGACCCTGACTAAACTGTACTCTTCTGGTTCCAGAGCCCGTGCTCACGACTGTGTCCCACGTGAGAATTTCAGATGCAGATTCACCTGAGATTTTATAAATGCCAACCAACGGCACACATAAGCGAAATGCCATTTACAGGCCTTCTGGTTTACCTACAAGCTCTGCCTCAGCCTGGTACGTTGCTGCTCTTTTCATGGATGGAGTCTAGCTTTGGGAGGTGGAGACTTTGGTGTTTTCTGACATCCTGATTCTGTGGCTTGCTTCTCCAGATCCCTTGAGTTTTTATGAGAAGTCATGTAATGACACTATCAGATACCAATTGGAAAATTATTAGCAAAACAGTCTCTCTTAAAATGGTAAGAAAATCAGTTATTTTGGACAAGTAATAAAGTGTGCATATCTAAAGTTCATCCTTTTATCACATTTTGTCTATCCACCACTATTTTCAGTTATATGAGAAGAAGTCTTTAAGATTTATTAGAACCTTTCTTATAATTTAAAAAATCTGAATAAAAACAATATTTTCTTGGCGAGTCTGGGCCATCACTTTGCCAACACAGTACTAAGCAATGACACAGTAGAGAGCTCAGGGGTTTTTAGTGACACATTTCTCAAACCTGAGTTTTTCCGCGTCCCCTCTCACTTCTGTCTGTGGTGTGCCTGTGTCAGGGCTCTTGCCAGCAATGGTTTCTCTACTCGTTTAAAAAACGCTTTGCTGTTTGTCTGCTGTGTTCTTCTAGAACTGATGTCCTGAGAACTGTGTGCAGTTAAGAGTAGGCAGGGCCAAGCATAGATTACTTTATCATAAACAGCACTGACATTATTATTTTATTTTTTGGCTTTTCTGAGACAGAGGTTCACTATGCATTTCTGACTGGCCCTGAACTCATTTTGTAGGCCAGGATGGACTCAGAACTTGCAGCAATCCTCTTGCCTCAGCCTCCCGAGTGCTGGGATTACAGACATGTGCCACCATGCCTAGCCTGACATGTCTGTTTGTTTGTTTGTTTTTTGGTACTGGGAATAGAACTCATGATCTTGCACTTGCCAGGCAGGCGCTGTGCTGCTGAGCTAAATCCTCAGCCCCTGACATGTTATTTTAGCTGCCCAGAGTTAATTTTTTTTATCACTTCCAGAATCTTAGCTATATTCCAGATTTTTAAGATAGTTGAACTCTAAATGGCTAAAACAGCAGATGATTACATTAAGTTGACATATACAAATATTTGTACATTTTAAATTATTACACTAATTTAAACTCATAGGAAGACTAAAAAATGTGAACTACATAAAAAATATAAATCATCAGCATAAGCCTATTATCCGCCATGTAACTACCTTTTTCGGGTGGGGGATAATAGGGGTTGAGGGACTCGTTCATGCTAGGCAAGGATTCTACCACTAAGCTACATCCCTGGCCTTTTTTATTCTTTATTTTGAGACAAGGTTTCACTAAATTGCCCATGTGGGACTTAAACTTGTGATCTCCTTGCATCAAATGCCCAGGTAGCTATGATTACAGGCATTGGTCACCACATTGGGCGAATAACTATTACTTTTGGATATTTTTATTTCAGATTGATTTTATGTATGTGTTTAATTAAAAAACTAGAATTTTGTGCATATATATAACTCTGTATCTTACTGTAGTTTATTATTAAAACCTCTTAGTAAAAATAATTCTAAATGGCTGTTCTACTGAAGGGAATATGATAATTTACTTAATTATCCCTTATTTTTGTAGGCTAAGAATGTTTCTGAATTTTCCTACTGAAAAGGAAAAAACCTACTGAGAGCATCTTTATATAAAAACATAATGCACAGATTTTTAATAAAGTAATTCTGATTTTCATATTTGAAAAAAGGTTTTGAGAAGGGCCTGTCATTACTTATTTTAGTACACACTAAACTTAAAAAGCATTTTATTCCTACTATTGCCTAAAAAGAGAAAGGTAGCAATCAAAAAGGCCAATGATAGGCCAAAAATGAGGAATGCTCAAATTTTAATATTCTTTTTGTCTGATTACAGTCTTGTTTTATGATTATTTCAATGAAAATTTTGAAACTCAGATTTACTAAATTACATGATCAATTTTTTAATGCTGCTGACAATGTACTTATCAAATGACAT